CACACCCTCAAGATTATGCTGTTTATTTAAAATTGTATTTCAGGAATAAAATATATTTAATAGAATAAGCAAAGATAAAGGTAAAAGACACAAATGAACTTGCCTTTATCTCATCTACTAGTATTAACAACAAAAACATTCATCGACAATCAATCGAAAATTAAAAGAAATTTAAAATAGTTCGGATTGTTAGCAATAAGGATAACAGGTGACATTAGAAGTTGCTTTATTGATAGTTACCAATACAATGATTAATACAATCCACGCAGCAAGTCCTGCTAACGTCACCAAAATGTTAAAAATGAGTGCTAATGTACTCATTGTTCTTGCGCCGCTTGCATCATTGGAAGTTTTGCGACTTCGACAGATGAGACTGAAGATTAATGGAAGCAATCCAAGAAGACACCAGCCAACAAAGATATTGGTGATTGACCACGGCAACCAATCACAAATTTGAGCACTCGAAGGGTCGACATAACCAATAGGCTGAACAAAGATTTGTCCACCCGACTGCTGACCAAATAGTACCGGCCCTCCTTGCTGCATATTTGGCGGAAGAACATATTGTACTTGTACTTGTGGCTGCATGTGTGGTTTTTGATCAGATTGTGCTTGTTCTGGAGCAGCATATGTAGTAGCTTGTGACGGATCTGAATAATTTGGGCTGGTCATTGTACAATCAATTGATCTTTTAAGTAAAGAATAATCACAAAAAAAGTGTTCTAAAATAGGAAATACATCTGTTAGTTAAAATTTGTATGCAAATATTTCACTGAGAGAAAAAGTAGTAGGTATGGTCGAGAAAGAAATGTAATACTCATACCAGCTTACCCGTCCATATCTCACCAGATGAAAAGATCGGCTGACAAACATATCAGATAAGGATGGGGAAATATGGAAAAATGTTCTGTGCAGAAAAGATAAAATAAACAAGTAGGAAACACAACTTCACTCTCACCCTACACATATTCATACTGTACCACTGAAGAAAAGTTTATATCGAATTCTATTTTGATGGCGGACAGTAAACACTTTCTAACCAACAAAATTGTGTCGATTACCATGATCTGGTTCTTTTTGTACGATTATTTATACATCGATATGTTGGAGATTTTTTTTCTTCCAGTCGCAAGGAAGTATGATTTTACGTAAGTCTCCCACACAAAATATTTTCACTACAGGGGGGATTCTTAAATTTTTTCGATGAAGGTGTGTGTATGAGTCAACAAAGGAAGTAATACTAAATCCTGATTTTGTGATTTAAAATGAGTTTACCTAATTTTAGTTGAAATTACAGAGTTAACGTCAGTCTGAGTGAGTTTAAATCATGCACGCTTTTTATATGACTGATAGTTTTATTTTTTTGATCGACAAATATTTTGCCTGATTAAAGTGCTCCTTGCTGTAATCTATGATCGGTTAAAAAGCCTAAATTGTTGCTAGCAATCAGGACGCATCTATTGCTTTTAAATTTAATATTCAATAAGTGAGATCGATGGGTGGATGTGAATGCAGATTTATGCGAACGAAGAATACAATATCCACACCCACACCCTTGTAAAAAAAGATAATAATTCTACATATATTATAACTTGAATTACTAAAAAAATGACAGTATTTGAATGAAGAATAATATAAAACAAGATTTCCTACTCAATGACTTGAATGACTAAGCAATTGTATATTGCTTCTTTAAATAAACTAAAACATAATGCAAGACTATCAAGTACTGACGTATTTCGATATCTGCATATTATTCAAAAAAATATCTCTCTAAAGCAGCTGTCATAATTATAATATGACAAAAATACAAAAGGATTTCGTCTTATCGATTATGACGCATAAGCTTGAAAAGAGAAAAGAAAGAAGAAGATATGTATATAATCATTTGTTTAGCTTTATTTTGATCACATATTATTCAAGAGTCGACTATACAGGTAAGTAAGTGGATAAGATTGATCAAAACAAATACTGCACTTTATTTATATCATGTATATTATGTAAGAGTATTATATAAATAACTGAAGAAGAATATTTTTAGAGTTTTCATATTAATAAAGTTGGTGATAAATTGCGTTTTCTTAGTTATAGTTTTTCTTATCAGTTGTATTCCAAGTTTGGAAATCATGTGAGACAGTCTTTTCCATTTTTATTTTTTCATTTATCATTCTCGAATAAAAAAAAATAATAATCCGAATAAGACCATTTCTGTCCGTTAAATCGTTTGTCATTGATAATTCGAAAATGATCATGATGCTTTTCGTTGGTGACTTGTTTTTGTATGTAAGATAAAAATAAAATCTATCTAGTCTGATCTATAAAATTATAAAAGATAATATACAACATAACAAAAATTCTAGATTAATTTGACACGTTCATTTGAACTAAATGAATATTTTATTTAACTTGATTATAGGTTAAGTTATTCTAATCTTTCAATTATTTAGTTCTATTTTAGTTACAGTAACTAGAAAATGTTTGATTGTTCCTCCTAAATCTTGCATATATGTACGAATGTTTTTAATCAATAGTCTTTTTAGTGTGAGCTCAATGAATTTACTATACGTCTTTCTTTTGATAAATGCATGGACCTTCACATGGAGCAATCCTTGTATTCATCATCCACATTCGTGCCGCTATTCACGTTTACATGGAATTTTTAATCATACTCAGCAAAAAAAATCATATGATATAGATACAGATAAATCGAACTCCACCGAACAACAAAACGATCCTGGTTCAATTGTTCATGTGATGGCAACGTCCAAAGTCGGTGTCAACGTAGATGAATTTTCTGAGGATCCCACTACACTATCTGGTATTATTGATATATTAAAAGCGGAAAATAAACAGTTCTGGATTGATCGAGCTTCACAACAAATATTGTTAACAATGTATCGATTTAATTTTCGTCCTTCGTTTATGCCTAATAAATATCAACTTCCTCTAACACAACCTAATCACTGGAAATTCGAATTTCATGGTAAACCAACACGGGATCGTTCTATTGATGGTCATGATTTAGTTTACATTAATTATACATGGTCAACCTATCTTTTAAGCGATTTTGAATCACCAGGCATTAGTGAACCTATGTTGAAGAATATCGGTGGAAAATGGATTGAACAGATTATATTGCCATGCGATCCTTATCACCTTCTTCAACGAACTGGTTATGCTTGTATGGATGAAGGTGAGTAAATATCATATCTACTCTTGTTGTCACGCAACTAGATAAATTCAAACGACTCTAAATCCATATAGATCAATAAGAATCATTCCGGTGACTCTGCTGTTTCAGAGCTAATTTGTTCTCGTTAGATATAACACAAATTTGATTGAATATAAATGAAGGAAAAATATTTTAGGTGATTTTCCAATTCCAAGCGTCCATCCTGAGAGAACCGAATGGTTTTATGATGATACTTGTGATATTGAAGAACCATATGTAGCTTCACCAAACCAAGGATGCCGTCAATGTCATTGTTCTCAAACAGTTAATATAAGTTGTGTTGATGCCTTGAAAGAAAATATTGGTTCAGTAAATGTTTCATTTATTTTTACTCGTTTACCATGGAATCAGACACAAGCCAATAGAATTCGAAAACTAAGTGATCCACAGTCGACTACACATCCAGAAGATGCAGATCAAAACTTACTTACAAGTGGTTTAGCAGCTAAACTAATAGAATATAAATATTTTAGTAGTAATTCATGTGAAATTCATGAGCCTTGTATTGGAGGAACAGGTTGGCGAAGATTATTACTTTTTGATTCCTCTGATGAAAATATAGGTGGAACGTCTTTAACAATCGGCCAGATCTATACATTAACCGATAATGCTACACAAGAACCTGCTGAAGTAACCAATCATGGATTATATCAATATGATACATGTCATCATCATTATCATTTTAAATATTATGGAACATTTACATATGATAATGAACAGTTTCAAAACTCAAAACGTGGTTTTTGTATCATGTCGACTGGTCGTCAAGCAAATGCTGAATGGAGTCCATTATGGTCTGCGTTCTACAATTGTACCTATCAAGGAAACTCTCCTGGTTGGACAGGTTCGTATACAATATTTTATATAACCATGAAATTCACTTTTCTTTACTTTTGGAAACAACTAAGAATCATACGAGTATAACAAAATATCTTTTCTATAATAGATACTTATCAAGCTGGAATTCCTTGTCAATGGATTGACATAACTGATTACAATACAACGAATTCATCTACCACTGCTTTTCTGAAAGCTAACATGAATCCTGATAATATGCTATGTGAAGGACAGTTAGTTTTGGATGCGGGCGGTAATTTTATTTGGGAACAAACAAACTTTACTGCTATCGATGGTCAAACTGTTTATAAACCTGAATGCGTTACTGGTACAAATCCGTCTACATTAGGAAATAATATTGATGAAGTTCAAATAACGTTACCAACAGATGGACACGGTTACGTGACAGTTAGTATCAATGAAAATGTAGCAAATTGATTCTACTTTTACTTCTTTGTTTCAGGAACCTTGTTTCCCATATGGTCAACATATTGGTTCTGAAAAGAATTGTGGCTTCATGATGAAATCACCAATGGAAAAATGTCAACCAGGAGAAATAACAAAACTTTCTTGTTTGTTGGAGACTAACCTCAATTGTAGCGCAGTATTGACTCCACAAGTCGTGCGCATATGTGAAAGCTCTCAAGTATTAAATACTGGTCTTGCTTGTGATTACAATACTGCCTTAAACAATATGGTTGTTAACTCGTCTTCGACAAGTGTTATCACGTTTATGTGTCCTTCATTTCGAGATTCACAAGAACTAGGTGGTTTATATTCAATTTATGTAGCTTCGATTATGGATCAACTGGATGATCAGCAAACAACAGTTGTGTGTGAACAAATGCAATAAAATTTAAGCTCTAATTAACTTTTTTTTATTATATTTACATATTATCTATACCAGCGTATTATCTATTAATAGTGACTTATCGATTTATTCAAAAACTTTTCTTTTTGTAATATTAATCTCGCATTTTTATATTATTTAGTTTAATAAAAGTATTCATAGAGAAAAATTACGAAGTTAAGCAAATATCTTAAAGATACGAGTAATATATTTATTTCATACTCTAACACTTTTAAGATAGTTTGAGTGAATAGGATTCGTTACTAATGGAGTGTTAATCAAGAAAGACTGTATCGATTCTGATACTCACTTAACTTTCTATCATTCTTATGATGAGAAAAAGGTATATTTTTTTGATCACACCACCATTCACAAATATTGTGCAGCTTTTTTATTAGCTGGTATGATCATAATAATTAATTAAAATATCTTGAAGAAAAAATAAAAGGAAAGCTAAATCTATTTCTAATCTTTAAAATAATGTAGAAAAGATTTAAAGCGTTTTGAAAATTACTATTTATTTTTATTAAGCTCTGTAGTTTATTCCACTATATATTTGAGATTATATGAGAAAATATGTTAAAGATGATCAATCGAAATATGTTACAAGAAAAAAAAGAAAAATAACAACATTTTCTGATGACGTGACAGTATTCAACATTATGAAACTTATACAGGGTCGGTGTGAGTGTGGTTCAGAGATGTATATATCACCCTTATGAACTAAATATATGTATATATATGATTGTTGTAATATCAATTAAAGATAAACAAACCGATCATCTTCTTTCATTTAACGATGAATTCCAACAGCAGCGGGTGTGGTTAAGAGATGCATATATCACCCACCCATACTCACTCCTTCAAGAGTGTGATGTTGTGCCTTTTGCCCATTTGATCTGCATGTGAACTACTTGTGAATCACACGAATAGCTTAAACATGCTGATGGTTCATTCTGGATGGATTCATCTAGACTTTCTATAAGTCGACAAAAATCGATAATATTTATTAATTTATAGATATTTGTACTTTTTGAATCTTTTGATTTTGTACTATTTACTAAGAATGAGATTGGCGGTATTATTGTTATATCCTTGATTGAATTGCAAAAGTGTATGTAATGTTGAAGTGGGACATCTTGCAGAAGATTTAAGATGTTGATATTTTTGTCCTTTGAAAGATGAAATGCATCGCTATCCAGATCGAACAATGCGACACGGAAACGGCCGGTTCTATCGTATTCCTATTGAGCGGATCCATTGCCCGGATCCGTTCGGTTCCACTTGGAACCGACTTCAGTGCCGAATTTTTGGCATTTTTCGGCAAGATTTTTGCCGAAAACGGTGAGTTTGCCGAGGGTTTCACCTTAGCTTTATGGAATACTGCGTCAGGAATTATCGACTTGGGTAATCAAATCTCTTTCCGCCGTTACACTACCACAGATTAACACGTTCAGACATGTTACATCGTAAATGGATACATCGGTTTTAGTATTCGGTGGAGGATTAGCGAAGATTTTCCTTTCTATGTCGTCTGCTAGATATTCCAATTAATCTATTAATGTTCATGAGACGTTATATTTTGGCATTTGATATATTTTACAGCTGTGACGTAAATATGCAAATGGCTTTTCGACGATGTTTCCTGTTACCAAATATTAACGACATGTGGATAATGCGTAGGTTTCGATTGTTGAATAACGAATTTTCGATTGTGCGAAGTCAACTAGTACACTTTGTGGATCATCAACTTCTTTGTATCGTATTCTATTGTTAAAAGCTATGTAACACGCTTCTCTTGCAGTTGATATTATTGTCGAATTGATGAGAAGTTAGCACCATGAAGCTAGCACTACGAAATAAAGAATAATATAAAAATTTATATAGAAAGGAATTCCCGTTCTTAGAAATGAGTCCGTTCGATGCAGAAATAAATTCTGTATCGAATGGTGATATTTTTATTCACGGGGAAAACGACTGGAAAAATTTCATCGGGATTTTTTCTTCTACACATATATGTATAGGAGAAAAGTAAAGATCTAGGTAAAATTTTCCCCAATCGTTTATCCATTAATAAAAGAGTGTGGGTGTGGGGAAAGAGAACATCTACATTAACATCCACCTACACCCTCACCCACCGGTACTCTCAAGCTTAAAATCAATTTTTGGATCGTTTAGATCATCGATTTCCACAAGTGGGCGTTAGATCATGTCGTATATGTGCATACAACGCAAAAAAACGAAGAAAATCAATCTTACCTAGAGATGGCAAATGATGAGGATGTAGATGGTGAGGATGGGAATAGTAATAAGGGGAAAAAGAAGATTGATGGTGATATAGTTAGTTTATCTATGAAAATAAATAAACAAAACAAAAGGGAAAATAACAACAGAAGAGAGGAGAGAGATATAAGGACAGCTAGACGGGAAAAGCAAATGATACTTAGAAAGATAAGAGATGAATTGAACTATGTTCAAATATACTAGAGGAAAACAAAAGTCGGAAAAAAACATAGAGAGAGAGAAAAAGGAGCAGAACGAAAAAGAACCCGATGTGCGAAAACTACGAAGACATCAGAAGGGAAAGGGGTAGATGGAAGCTCGACCACGACTAGTGATCAAATAAGGTAGCGGTAACTTAGTGACATCTGTTATTACTAACACCTTCACCAATGGGTGAAAAAGGGGGGCCTTCATGCAAGAACCTAGATAGAGTACGTAGGGGTAGGCGCGAAACACCTCACGGAATACGAGACAAGGAGAAAGAAAGCTGCAGGAACATGTTGAGCAATAACAACACGAAAGACAAGAAAATCTCTCGTGTAAGGAGAAGAATAAACAAAAAAAATATAGACACAAGGAAACAAAGCAAAAAAACAAAATATATATATGTATAACTGCCTATATAGAGAAAAAACGAAAAGAACTAGAAGAAGAAAGGGTG